AAAAAAAGCATTCCCTACTCATTTCCTCTAATGAATATCCCTCAGCTAAGTGTATTGATTGATACTTAAAAGTGTATTTTTATCAAGGTTTTATATCATCATTTTGCATTTAAAGTATCAATAACTCCTTAACTAAAGCATGTTTTATAATAATATATCTAATAATATAAGATACCTTTAATTTATGGTAAATGTTCATTTTAAATGCAGGCCGATCACATAAATGAAAATATTGATTGATGACTTTAAGAACTTAAATTGCAAGGACAAAGAGATGACCAAAATTAGAAAAGAGATGTCGGTGCAATCCAAACCGGAACACTGTTCGGTAATTGGGTCATATCTAGAGCTATATATCTCAGATTTAGGTCCAATTTATATGGATGGAAAGGTAAGACATAGGCCTACAACTTTCATATGGAGCCCAAGATCTAAAAAGGCCATTATCAAGCCAAAATTGTAGCAACAACAAAGAAGACCGAATCTGTCTTCCAGCCCGAGCACTGTTCGGTATTTTGGCCATATCTGGAGTTCTAGAAGTCCAAATGAGCTGAATGTTTTACACAAGAAAGCTGAGACAATTGCCTACAACTTTCATGTTTGCAACTGGCTCCAGTTTTGACGTTATCAATGACGTTTTGGGCAGACAAGAGAAGATAAGGATTGTCACCAAGTCAAAAGTTGGCCACCCACTTATCAATTAGTCATCAAATCAATAGTTCCTAATTTTGGCCTATAAAAGGAGGCATTTGCCATGCATTTAGGCATCTTGGTTTCCAGATCAAGATCATGCTCTTCCTTTCTCTCTTTGTATTTTTTATGCTTTGTTTTCATTAATATTAAGTTTATGCCTTTCATTTCCTTTCCTTTACTTAGTTAACTTTTATGTTCTTATTTTGTTTATCTATTTTGCTTTCTTTCATTATGTCTAGCTAAGTTAATTATGTCAAGGTGAAAAGGTTACACTAATGGTGTAAGAATAAGTATAATGTAAACTTAATATGGACTTTAATGTTTGATACTAACATGTTTTATATTTGTTATCTTGTTCACTCTTTAATACTTTGCTTGTTAAATGACTAATCTTGATTTATGTTGTATAACACTTGGTACAACAAATGCTTGGCACTTTCATAGCCCATAATGTATGGTATAACCGACACCTGAGCTATGAAAGGAACTTGATTTATTGTAATCTCCCTGTGGTTCGACCCCGGTCTTTCCGGGTTATTTATTACTTCGACACTCCTGCACTTGGGAGAAGACATCAATCTTTTAGTCGTGTCATGTATGATGTTATATTGATTAAGAATACATTTTAATTGATTACATGATAACCTTTTAGCTTTAGTTAAATAGGGTACAACATTGTACTCTAATATAGGGACTCTCTAAGACATATGACTTCCTTATGCTTTGATATAAAGTTTATGTAACTCATAATCAAGATTGACACAATCTTGAAAAATCAAAAATCAAGTTTGATAAGAAGTGTAACATAATGATTACTTGAACCAAGGCACCTACACTATTTGAATGAACCCCCAACCAATGATTAGCGAATTTTGAACAAGATGTATAAGGAAGAATACCACAAAGTCAGTTATACTTTAATAAATTTGATTGCTCTTTGTTTAAACAAAGTGAAGAACATGTTGCTCCAAACAAAACACTAGTTTTTTTCTATAATCTATGGATAAAAAGAAAATCTAAGTTCAAGCTAAATAACCCTATTTATGCTAGGTAAAAACATCCTAAATAAGTCTGAAAACTAATAAAAGAGTATTAGTCCAAGTAGAAAAAAGAATATTAAATCAACTAAGAAAATAATGCAATTCCTACACAGTTTCTTCTAGACTTTATCTATGTTCAATTGATCTGAAATTTTAACCCAATATATAACAAGACCTCTAAAAAATGTTGATAAAATTTCAGCTTAATCCAATGGTTGATAAATAATTACGCTTGTTACCATAAAATCATGTAATAGAAAGAAATCAACTCAAAACCAATTTCAACTCTCTCAAATATGGAAATCTTTGGAATAGCTATTACCTCCCTAGTTTTCTTGTAAGAGATGGAAACTTCTAAAACATTCTCTTATTAAATAGCATTAGCCCTCATTTTTTTATGTAGCTAAGATAAATAAAGAATTCTTGTAAAAAAGATTTTGGAACATTAAAGAAACTCTTGCTACACTTGGAAACTATATTTTTTTCCATTAAAGAAACTTTTGCCACACTTAGAAACTATGTTTTTGTCCATTAAAGATCCTAAGAAAACTCATAAAATTAGTTATTGGATATTTTGGATTATTAGGTAAAGAATCCTCTCCTAATAGAAAATTCATAAGTTAAAAGTACAACAAATAAAAAAATTTATTGCATCTACATACATGTATCTCAAGACCTTATCAAATTTTAATTAGCTTGATATTTTAACTAATTGTAAAAATGCATGGAAATTCTAGGTAAGATTTCAGTTCAATCTAATGATCAGATTGAGAGTTATACTCGATAGCGCATAAGTGAAAAACATGCACAATTACACTAAAATATAAATTTATATGTTCAACCTCTTTTGGATTGTATCAAACTTCTCGTGGACTATAAAGGGAGATAGGTCTTGTGTGATTAATAATAATACATTTTCCCTTCCATTGTTTTAATAGAATTTAATTTTCCTTCAAAAAACTCCTTGAAGTTGGCTAAAACACATTTTATAAGTGAAGAATACATCCTTGACAAATCTTCTGACGTGGAGTTTATATCCATACTTAAATGGACAGAATGAAACAAATATATATATCTCTTTATGCATGGTACACTTTGGTTCCTTGCTAATCCTCTATCGATATCAGCCCTAGTTATAGTATTAGGATAGTGATTGATATTAATTGGTTAGAAGTTGGTCTAATCTATTGCCTTCAAAAAGAACCCCACTAGCTCTTACACCACCTACAGCGTTGTTTGGTTAGAATCCTTGACCTCTCAACGAGGAACCACTCATAGACTGAAAGTTTTTTAAAACCACCATGTGAGAATGGACATCTTTTGAGCCACAACCTAGAACAAGACGTGAAAAATGCTGTTTGGTCATCTCTATGGGCCATAAAACCCTGAACAACTACCCCCACTACGCAAGACTCTTAGTTGAATGCCAACTAATATTTATGCTCATGCTACCACATCCCTCTTGGTTATACAAAGTGTCAGTATGACATCACCCGATGCTATTAAATTATTAGTGCGGCATGCTTTGTTTCGTAAGGCATCACTCACCTCCATACAACTCGTCTTTTTATTGGTTATCATAAAGCGGGTCACACGTTAGTTAGTTCCTACGCAAATATAATTCATGTTAGATTGGTAAGTTATGCCACCTTCACGGTACTACGGGGAGG